TGTACTAATATTATAAAGAGGCAGAGGGTACTTACGAAAAATATTTTTTTTGAATATTCCAATAAAGGCCTTAAAATAACACGCCACAGCAGCTACAAATTTGGCGGGCTTTAAGTGCCGCCAATCTACAGCGGTGGCGTTGATACGGAAGTAGCAGTCAGAGTTTTTTTTTTATTTCTTTGAAAGAGCTAATCTTAGGAACGACTAATCCGATTTGAAAAATTCTTTCTTGCTTTAGATAGCCCGTTTATTGGGAAATGTTATTAAGGCTATATATTATCATCATGCTACTACCCAAGGTAGCAGAGAAGTTACGCAGTAATCATACCACCAACAAATCGGGCTTCCTCCCAAAATCTTTAATCAAAATTGATTTGGTAAAGATATCTTGTTATTGGATTGAATCAAATTTAGTTTACTAAATGATGAGGTCGTGCTTCGAATTCCAGGTCGGGCTAAATTAGTACGGGAAACTTTTTGTTAAAAAAGTGCTAGTCTAAAAAAAGTGTACTCCAAATACGTCCAGTCGATTTAACGTGAAGGCACAACAAACAACAAACATACCCACAACTTGCAAGCACTAAGCGCTTGCAAAAGTAGAGTGATAAAATAAATAAGTATTTTATATTTATGAATAGCAAATCAATTTATTATTAAATTTAACTACCACTCAGCATCATCATCACACCATTCTCGCTATTAAAATGGATCGACACCTCATATGTTAAAAATTAAAATCCATCAAACTTATGTACAACTCAAAAGTGGTTATACAATTTAATGTAATAATTTGCTTCAAACAATGGAGGTAAGAACAAAAAGTAGATAATCGAAAAGAAATGTTCTATCATCCGTGGTCCCTACTATCTAAAATATTTCTTATATTAGGTATAACTTTAAAACGTTGTAGGTATATTATCTATACATATAATAAAATTCTAACTAAGCCGAATCTGTACATTAAATATGTTTTGGAAAACCTTATTGAAATAGACATTATTATCGATACAGTGGCCGAATCTATAGTTTTTAGAATTTTTGTCTGTCTGTCTGTCTGTCTGTCTGTCTGTTACCGCATCACGTAAAAACCACTGGAGGGATTTTGATGAAACTTGGTATGATGATAGCTGGTTATTCGGGTCAACATATAGGATACTTTTTACCGCGAGAAAATATCTCATTTCTGAGAAAAAATACAAAAATTGCAGTGTAAGATTGATGTATTAATATGTAAAACCAAATAATTTGGTTTTTGGTCATCTGAACGCGGGCGGAGCCGCGGGCAATGCTAGTATTAAAATTATGTAGATAGCAAAATATTATAATAAAAATACCATAAAAATTTACCCTCTCTACTATATTCTTAGATACTTAAATTTACACATACTGATTTAAAATGTAACATTCATTTATCTACCACTTGCGGCGTAACAAATAACTATAACTTCTCATTTGGACACATTTAAGCGATAACACTAGTTTGCAATGTATTCGATTTTCTGTACAATTTCAATAATGCTCGTATTAGTGCATATCTACCAAAAGAAAAATAATGCAAAATGCAAATCGACCAAGCAACTAAATGGGAAGACAGTTATTGTTACTGGTGGAACTTTAGGCATCGGTGTGAGGATTGCCTTGAACTTCGCGCGCAGAGGAGCTAGAGTCATAATTGCCTGTCCATATGAGAAAGAAGGTACCAACGCCAGGCGCGTCATTATACAGAAAACTGATAACCGAAATGTAATTTATAAGTGCCTTGACTTAGCTAACTTAGAATCAGTGCGTAACTTTGCAAAAGATATTTTAAAAAATGAGGACCGATTAGATATTTTAGTGAACAACGCTGGTGTTGGAGCCGTTGGGGACTTTTTAACTGAAGACGGAATGAACATCATAATGCAAGTAAATTATTACGGGCATTTCCTATTGACTTTACTCCTTTTGCCACTTTTGAGTAAAACTGGTACAGAATCTGAGAAAAGTAGAATAATTAATGCGACATCGATGTTGCGCGCTCAAGGCTCTTTAGATGTGGAGAAATATAACAGAGTGGGTTATTGGCATCAAATTTCAATTTTATCAAATAGCAAATTATCTGTCGTTCTCTTTTCTAAGGCATTAACAAGACGACTACGAAATCATAACATAGTGATTAACAACGCCGACCCGGGCCTCGTGGCTACCAGGATATATGAGAGCTATAATATTGTAGTTGGATATATTTTGAAATATTTATTATTTGCATTCTTTAAAAATCCTTGGGAAGGAGCTCAGACAGCTATTCATGTCGCGTTAGACGACGATGCTGGCATAGTCAGTGGGCAGGTTTTCGAAAACTGCAAGATGACGGATAAAGCATGGCCTTTCCCGTGGAGGGAGTCTAAAAACATGGACCAGGCTGCTGAGAAACTGTGGGATCAATCAGTGAAGCTGGTGAAATTGGAAAATAGTGAACTAGGAATTCTTAAATTATAATTAACTAGCGACTCACCCTCGCTTCGTGTGCTTCACCGTCCCTACTTACGTTTAAATGTTTAGTATAGATTTCTCAGAGATGAGATATTTTCCCGCAGTAAAAAGTATCCTATATGTTGACGCGGATAACCAGCTATCATTATACCAAGTTTCATCAAAATCCCTCCGGTGGTTTTTCCGTGATGCGGTAACGAACTGACAACTTTTTTTAAAAACTAAAGATCCTCTGTATCGATAATAATATCTATTTTAATAAGATTTTCCAAAAAATATTTAATGTACAGATTCGGCTAAGTTACAATTTTATCATATGTATAGATTAACTCGACATACATACGTGTATTTTGTGTAGGTATTTACCTACGTGCTGTTGGTGTTGTAATGGATAATGGTTGTTGTACAATAACTTAATTTTAATTCAGTGATGTACTTTAACACTAAAGTAAATATCTATTTGAAGTATTCAGGTATTAATTTTCAATTTATCTTGTATTTTATAATTAGCTTAGGTATTTAGAAATACTCGTATAATTTGCTTGACAATAAAATATTACATTTAATAGGTATATTATTGTTTTCTTTTTTATATTTCCTAAGACAAATACCGAACGCAAAATAATTTCGCTATATTTATCTCTCCGTCGAAGCAATAGGGAGTATGCGTGTTTTTTTTAACTTTTAATGCAATAGCTAGCATTGTTACTTAGTTGTGAAAAAAATATCTAACCCCAAAAAACTAAAATTTAGTATAATTTATTTTTAATATCATACCGATATGGATAATTTAAACGCCCGCTTTTTCGCGCGCTTTGCGTGATGTCACAGTATGATATACACAGAGAAGTGACGACTCAATTTATAGCGACAAAATCGCTAATTGCTTTGTTATAATAATAATAATATATAATAATAAGCGTTTATTTCGGACAAGAAGTCCATAAAAATCATTAGTATTTTACATTAAGCATAGAACACAGAAAACAGAAATAAAATGCTACAAAATTATAACAGAAATAAACAAAGAAAAATAAAAACATTTAACATTGAAATTAAATAAATCATGTATGTCAATTTATGATGATACTTTGACGTCATATTCGGTCTGACCAATGGCGTGCGTTTCAACTAATTTGAATTTCCCACCTATATTTGCATTTTTATATAATTATTTTCTTAATCAAATAGAAAATACATTGCAAATTATTAATATAGGCTTAGTTCAAAATCAATAAAGAGAATTATATAATAAAATTAAATATTTGAACTTAAGCATGTGGAGTAACTTTGAATGTATGTAATCTGTAAAATAAATTACATATTTCTTAGGCGACTATTTATTTAGGCCAATAGTTGTGGAGATATAGTATTCTAAAGTATTTAACCATATATGTTACATTCCTCTCCCTCTTTTCTCTAACTCTTATAAGGTAGAATTACAAAAAAATATTGGGTGTGGTTGTCGTGCTCAGCCGTTGGCTTAGATTATTAATATAAGGCCTTTGGTTTATCGTGAAACGTTTCTCTACAGCACGAACTGATGAATTTGTATACATTGCTGCATATAATTTCCTAAAAATTTTATCGAAACTACAAGTACTTTTATTTAAATCAATCGGTCGGAATTAATTCTATAAACACAAAAAATCACGACGCTATCAGTTTGAGTCGTAAGTTACACCAAATAGAAAAGAGCGAGAATGGCGATTGTAGTTATAAACATTGAGCCGCTAGTTGTACATAATTACATATTTGAACACAAATTAGTAATAATAGTAATCTTTGAAGAGAGCAACGGAAAGAATAGGTACCTAAGTAGGTACTTATATAATTCGTTGGCTCACTATTACAAGGTTCTATGTTAATTTTAATAAAGTTTAGTAATTTTTACATAGAACTTCGTTATTTTGTTATCGTAAAAAAAACAACATAGAACTATGTAAAATTGAATATTTTGTAGTTATAGTGCCGCTATCTAGTGGTTTGTTTTTGCAAAACTGTAGCTAATGACACATAGAACCTTGTAGCATTAATAACTAAATAAGTACTAAAATTGTAACATAGAACCTTGTAATTGTGAGCCAACGAATTATGTATATTATTTTTCAGTATAAGTAATATTAACAACGGTTACTATGGCAACCTAAAGCAAGTGGTTACTTCTTTATTTTAATTCAATTAAAACGAATCGATATGACGCCTCATATGTTAAAATCCATCAAACTTACGTAAAACTCAAAATGCTTACACAATTGTTGCATTTTACTCAACATATAGCAATTAACAACCGGTTATATAACGTAATAATGTGACCTTCAAACAATCGAGTTATGAACAATAAGTAGATAATCGAAATATAATATGGTAAACTATCGTCAGAGATCCTTTACCCTCTCCACTATATTCTTAGATGCTTACTTAAATTAATACCGATAAAAAATATAACATTCATTTATCTGCCTCGTGTGGCGTAACAAACAACTATAACTACTCGTTTGAACACATTAAAACGATAAGAGTTTGCAATGTATGTGATTTTGTTTATAATTTCAATAGTACTCGTATTAGTGCATATTTACCAAAAGAAAAGTAATGCAATATGCAAATCGACTAAGCAACTAAATGGGAAGACAGTTATTGTAACCGGTGGAACTTTAGGCATCGGTTTGAGAATTGCCTTGGACTTCGCGCATAGAGGAGCTAGGATCATCATTGCCTGTCCATATGAGAAAGAAGGTACCAACGCCAGGCGCATCATCGTACAGAAAACTGAAAACCGAAATGTGATTTTTAAGTGCCTTGACTTAGCTAACTTAGAATCAGTGCGTAACTTTGCTAAAGATATTTTAAAAAATGAGGACCGATTAGATATTTTAGTGAACAACGCTGGTGTTGGAGTCGTTGGGGATTTTTTAACTAAAGACGGAATAAACTTCATAATGCAAGTAAATTACTATGGGCATTTCTTATTGACTTTACTCCTTTTGCCACTTTTAAGTAAAACTGGTACAGAATCTGAGAAAAGTAGAATAATTAATGCGACATCGATGTTACGCGCTCAAGGCTCTTTAGATGTGGAGAACTATAACAGAGTGGGTTATTGGTATCAACTTTCCATTTATTCAAATAGCAAATTGTCTGTTGTTCTGTTTTCTAAGGCATTAACAAGACGACTACAAAATCATAACATTGTGATCAACAACGCCAACCCGGGCCTCGTGGCTACCAGGATATATGAGAGCTATAATATTCTAGTTGGATATATTTTGAAATATTTATTACATGCATTCTTTAAAAATCCTTGGGAAGGAGCTCAGACAGCTATTCATGTCGCGTTAGACGACGATGCTGGCAAAGTTAGTGGGCAGGTGTTCGAAAACTGTAAGATGACGAATAAAGCATGGACTTTTCCGTGGAGGAAGTCTAACAACATGGACCAGGCTGCTGAGAAACTGTGGGATCAATCAGTGAAGCTGGTGAAATTGGAAAGTAGTGAACTGGGAATTTTTAAATTATAATTAATTAACGCTACATACATACCTGTATTTTGTGTAGGTAGGTACGTGCTGTTGATGTTGTAATGGATAATGGATGTTGAACAATTTTAATTCAGTGATGTACTTTATTACTAAAATATATATCTATTTGAAGTAGGTATTCATTTTCAATTCATCTCGTATTGTATAATTAGCTTATCTATACAAATAATAAAATGGTAATGAAGACGAATCTACACATTAAATATTTTTTGGAAAATCTTATCGAAATATACATTACTATCGATACAGAGGCCGAATGTATAGTTTTTATAATTTTTGTCTGTCTGTCTGTCTGTTACCGCATCACAGAAAAACTACTGGAGGGATTTTGATGAAATTTGGTATGGTGATAGCTGGTTATGTCAACATATAGGATACTTTCTACCGCGGGAAAATATCTCATTTCTGAGAATAAATACAAAAACTGGTTAAAATAAAAGCACGATGATACTATTGATATTACGTAGGAATATTAAAGATCAATTGGTGTGCAAATTTATTACTATTATATATAGAATTAGCATTGCCCGCGGCTCCGCCCGCGTTCAGATGACCAAAAACCAAATAAAATAGCGCTATTGTTATTTTTTTCAAGATAAGCTAATTTTAATAGTTTTTGCCTGATTCAGTAAGTTATCTTGCTAAAATATATATAGTATCATCGTGGTTTTATTCTAACCAGTTTAAGTATTTTTTCTCAGAAATGAGAAATTTTCCCGGTGTAAAAATTATCCTATATGTTGTCTTGGATAACCAGCTATGACCATACCAAATTTCATCAAAATTCCTCTAGTAGTTTTTCTGTGATGCGGTAACAGACAGATAGACAGACAAAAATTCTATAAACTATAGATTTGGCCTCTTTATCGATGTCTATTTCAATGAGATTATCCAAAAAATATTTAATGTACAGATTCGACTTAGTTAGAATTTTATTATATGTATAGGTGTTATGTAAAATATGCATGTGTTAGTTAGGGTACGGAACCGTAATAAACTACTCTAAAATACTCTGTTGTGAACGGAGAACCCGAACCATACTCGAAACGCGCGGTTTCTCCACCCATCACAGCGCGAGGACCTTAGGCCCCATCAGCTGCTGGCATACCTCGATAAGCTATCTTTCTCGCACCTATGGCTAAGCATAAGACTTCTTTGTAGGATTAATTTGTAAACTTTGTTTACGTCTGAGAATTGTTTGACACCGGTAAATTTGTCTGGCGATTTGCAAGCATTATTGAAAATCACTTAATAAATACGTGATTAAAATTTCAGATTGCCAAAAGTATATTTTTGCCAATTTTAATAAAATATCTTTGGAGAGGTCTGGTAATACTTTATAACCGACAAAAACGTCTGGGGTTCTTTTTTTTTGAATTATATAAAAACTAAATTAAAAGATTTAAAAAAATCAAGTTGCCAAAAATATGTTTTTTTGGATATATTTTCTGCAAAGGTTATATACTTACTGCGCAGTAACGAAATAACCGCAAACGCTATACCAGACTCGCGGGACTGGACTCGCCTATTGACGAAATTATATTTTTTCACAATTTCAGCTTGCCAAAAGGACCTTTCCAAAATTCGTCGCCAGCTCTCGGAATATCACATAATAGGCACACTGCAAATGTCATCTGCCTTGACCGTCGGTAAAGGAAACTCTAAACTATTGCTTTTCTTTTAATGGCCTTTAAGATAACGTCCTAAAATGTCGTGCTTAAAGTTTAATATATTATTTATCTTATTTTACACAAAAAAAATTTATACAATAATAAATTTAAGCAGTATTGAAAACGTAATGTATTTATGTACATATTGTACATATGATATTATTCTGTTTCTATATTGTTATTGTACCACATTTTATTAAAATTGTGTTTCTTTGTTTTCAAAAATAAAGAAAAAAATATTAGTTAATGAATTTAATAATCTATTATAGTCTATAGGTAATGCATGTTAAGTAGTAGGTATTCTTTCTCTGGTAGCAGTAATCAAGGTTTACAAATTTGTATGTTTACTTGACCGGATATAAAAAAAAATATGTAGTTACAATCGACGTCTCGTGAAACACAGAAAAGTTAGCTCTGAGAAGAGCTGTTTGTGTCGGATGAAATAATAAAAAACAGCTCTGAAAGGAGCTATTATATTGTACGCATAAAACAGGTTAAAAGATAGACAAATAACTTAATGATATATTAAAAAAACTTGATGTGATAAATATATGAGACATATATTTTAGTAGTAAGAGGGTAGTTAGGAAACACATTCAGTATGAATAATTATCTTTGGGTAAAAGAAAAAAACTTTTTTTGTAAAGTAGAGTAATTATTGCTGCTGTAATCTTCTTATTAATTGATCCCTTAATACTGCCTCTAAATAAATCAGTGGTGGAACTTCTCTCTCTCTCTCAGTGGTAATCCTCTCATCATAATCTTGGATGTTATCATGTTTCAAAGCTGAAAATTAATTAATTAATTTTAACAAAACATATTGAAACAAAATTATAGTAAAATCTTTATTATTAGAATAAATAGTCAATTGTATGAAAGCATAAGAACCTTTGACTAATTGCTTGTCTAGCATTTAGAGCGTCAGGAAAATGAATATATTTATTTAACATATTCTTATAATATACTAATGCTGTGGTTACTTCTTCAATATAAACACTGCACATTTTTTGGGATATATTCTTTGCAACCCCAACTGGCCGCTGATAAGATCCCGTTGCAAACAAAGATAATGCAGTGAGTACCTAGAATAATAACAATTAATAAAAAATACACGAAGGATGCATGTTTATGTTCACAAATTGTTTTAAATGATTTTACCTTTGCTTCCAAGGTAACCCGTTGAGTAGATTTCAAATTAGTTAATTGTCTTAGTTCTTTGCACAAGCCTTTAAATGCTGCTGCCATTTTTTACTCCAATTAAAACAACAGAACACCCACACAATATAATGAATTTCGTAAAAATATGTTCGTATTTTAATTAGCGTTTTCACTCTCACTAACAAAATCTAAGTGACAAGTTTACTGGTTTACATGCTCGCAAGTGAGGAAGTTTACAATTGAACTGTCAAAAGTGACATAAATTGCAACTCACACTCGCAAAAACGCCATTCCAGCGCGTTTAATTCCTCACTTCGACAAAGTTAGTCGACGGTCGCGATCATAAAGTTAACAATCAAACTCGCACTCACAAAATATGTTTTACAAACTTTCCGCTAGGTGGCGCTGATCCAACTCCATACAAATATGCGTTTACTTTAACGCGATCGAGTAGTCAAAAAAACTCACACTAAGCCCACTGATAAGAACTAAGTATTTATACGAGTCTTATTACCATGCTACATATATAAACTTATTACTCGTAGCAAGATTACAGATTCGAAGCGCTGCGAAGCAAATAATGTTTCCGTTTCGCGCGCATTAATGATGATCTATTTATAAGTTACTAGCGGCTCACCCTCGCTTCGCTCGGGTTCGTCTCTAGAAAAGCACAAACAGATCTAGCCCACGGGAACCGTTCATTTTTCCGGGATGAAAAGCAACCTGTTGTTTGACCGTCAATATGAGGTATTAGCGTGGCAAATTTTACTAAATTAGGTGTATAAGTTGTTGTGTACTAAGCTGTATAAGTTACTATAGTTTTTTGACTATCCCACGGAAACTCTTTCATTTTCTGGGATGAAAAGTAGCTGATTTGTTTTTGTCATGTATGAACTATATTATTGTAAAGTTTCATTAAAATCCAATCAGTAGTTTTTGTGTACTAAGCTGTATAAATTATTATAGTTTTTTAACTATCCCACGGGAACTCTTTAATTTTCCGAGATGAAAAGTATCTAAGATGTGGTCCAGGGATATAAGGTACCACCATCAAAATTTCATTTAAATCGGTCCAATAGATTCGGAGATTAGCCCGTACAAACAGGAAAACAGACAAACCGCTCGCTCGGGTTCGTCCATACCTACGAATATGTTGTATTATCTCTTTAACCATTTGTCCAAATTATATGCAGTAAAAGAGAAAAGTCTTTTGTTTTAAACATTTTAGACGATAAATTTACTTATTTTGATAAGAATTCATAATTGTTGATAATATGACCAATAAACATGACCTACCGATTTAAATTATTTTTTTAATATAAAAAACTACTTTTTGTGAATTAAATATAAAAGTTAGACATATTATGCTGTCGCTGACTTTTTTGTAGGCATTATTAAGCTCTACAACTTTTCTCTAGAACATAATCATATATCTCTCATCGTTAAGACGGCGTTCGTCAGAAAAGTTTTCGTTCGACCGTTTTTTCTCCGACTTACTTTGCAAATCCGGCTACCACGAAACAGCCTTTTCATTCTTCGGGTTAATATATAGCCTATGACACTCAGAAAGAACGTGGCTTTCTATTGGTAAAAGAATTTTGAAAATCGGTTCAGTAGATCTAGAGATTACCCCCTACAACGTCACACACTCACAAACTCACAAACTCACAAGATCACAAACTTTACCTCTTTATAATATTAGTATCGATAACTTCAACGTCCCGCGCGAGATCGCGCGTCGTTTCTCAGAATCCAAGAGTGCAAGAAGTTCGTGCTATTTTCCTTTCTTTCATATTTACGAACCATCGCATTTTAAATAATTCTAAGACTTTTATTCGACATTGTAATTTTTAGATTGTAAATATTTTAATGTAAGCATTTTTATTGCTTTTGAAATTTGTTGTTCAATTTCTGTATGAAAGTTGTCATATTTTGGCAATAAATTATTCTATTCTACGCATTCTACTAAATAAAAGTTTTCATTTATAAACTCCCAACTTGGAAAAAAACAATCAGGAGTGACTATATGAAAATTGCAAGCAATGAGTTACTTATAATGTAATGCATATATATATATATATATATATATATATATATATATATATATATATGTAATATTACCGTGGCTAGGGTTCGTCCCTAAAATTA